ATCCCAGCACTTGGGAGGCTGAGGCAGGAGGATCGTTGGGAGTTTGCGGCCAGCCTGGGCTACAAAGTGAGCTCAAGGTCAGCCTGAACTGCATAGCAAGACTTTGTCTCAAAAAGACAAAAAAAAAAAAAAAAAAAAAACAAAGAGGTCACTGTATAATGCAGAGCTCAAGGACAGCACCACCCTCCTGTAGCAATGTGGTAACAAGAAAGCCAACTAAATAAACCAATACGCAACACTAACAAAGTACTAATACAGTTACCATTAAAGTGAACATGTATTGCCCTCCCACTGTGAATCAGGAACCCCACTGGTGCTGGGAATACAGAAAAGAACCAGTTGCAGAGGCACTTGCCTATAATCCCAGCTGCCCTGGACACTGAGACAGGAGGATTGCAAGTTGGAAATCAGCCAACTTTAGCCAACCCCGCTGTCCCAAAATAAAATAAATGAGAGAGCTGAGACATAGCTCAGTGGCACAGTGCTTGCCTAACAAGGCCCCAAGTTCAATCCTCAGTAACATACAAAACAGGAATGAAAACCTCCTGCTCTGAATGAGCTTCCAATCTAATGGCAACAAAGAAAAAGGTGCAGTCCATAATTTTAAAAAGGACATGGTTCTGAGGAGACAGAAGACAGCGGCTAATTTTTCACAGACACTTGAAGAGTAAATTTACAAACCCGGATTTTAAAATATGAAATAAGTTGCTCTCAGATCAATAGGTCACAAGGAAAAGCAAATGCAAGAGCACAAAAGGGCTACAGTGAAGGGCTACAACGTGTATAAGACTGTGTGTACAGTTAATATAAAAGTCAGGTAAGGAACTAGGCAGAGACCAAACCCATATTCAGTGAGCGTAGGTTGGCAGTTTAAAGTGGGTCACAGGAAGAGTGTGTATAACACAGAAATGTACAAACACAAAAAATCAAGGTTTGGGCTTTTCTTTCTTTAATTCACATCCAAACCCCGCTCCCTGAGCCAAGTGTTAAACATTTACCAGCAAGAAACTGGAAATATCACACTCCAGAAGGCATTTTAATACAAAGGCCATTTAATGTGCTACTTGATGTTTTAAGACAGAAACATTCTCAAAGATAAAAGGCAATGGGGGGCTGGGGATTTAGCTCAGCGGCAAAGCGCCTGCCTGGCAAGCGCAAGGTCGTGAGTTCGGTTCCCGGTACCGGAGAAAAACCAAAAAAAAAAAAAAAAAAAGGCAATGGGAAATAAATTTCACCTCAAAGAAACCTCTATCCTAAGAAATAAGAGAATAACAACACTACACCCTGATGGAGACCATCCCATCTGAAATCCTAAAAGGTTATTCTAAGGGAATTTACCTGTTCGCTATGCTGTTACTCTTGTCCCTTAGAAGAGTTCCTACTCTTTGAAAATTTGGTGTTAAGCAAAATACACTCCTCCTTGGCTATCGGTCTTCCATCTTAAAGAAAGAAAACATCATTGTAGCATTTTCTCTTTGATGTTTACTCTGCATTAAAGATTACAAAGATTTTCAGGTAAAATATTGCTGTTGATATGAACAGATTTCCATTATGCAGAGCATAATACAGTTTTTATGAAGAAAATTATTGGGCTGGAGGTGTAGCTCAGTGGTAGAACATCTGCCTGATTTGCATGAGGCCCTTGGTTCAATCCCCAGCACCAAGAAAAATAAAAACAACAACAAAAAAAAATTGTTAGCATGAATGTAAGATTAAAAACTAAGCATGGAGAAAATGATAGTTCCTTCTGTTGCTCACAAGGGAGACGATAAGAGGGTTTATTTTCCATATAATTCAAACTAGTACATATTTGTAAATAGATCTATAAAAATCATTTCAAATCAGTACACAGTAGTAAACTAGCTGTGATTTATAAGAAATTCCAAAAGCCAATATTTCTTTAAATCAGTACCTTTTAAATATTAAAGAAAAAATAAGTAACTATAAAATGCCCTAGACTTCACTTAAACCTGTATCAAGAAATTTTCCCAAGTTCCTCTTATGATCCGAAGTTTCATCTGTAAATTCACCACTGAAGGTGATAAAGAAAACTGTACTTAAGTGGGTGATTGATACAAGTGAGCATATGACACATAGTCTGCAAAGGGAAATGATTTTGGGGAGAAGGCTCAGGAAGAAGAGAAGCAAATAATGGATTTGGGGTGGAAAGCAGACCTTTCCTATCCAAGGACTGTCACCAGTTCTTTATTACTTGAAGATTAAGGGAATAGTGAATAAAGCTGTCTGCCAGACAGCCAAAGAGGGGAAAATAACATCGTCCCCACATGTACCTCACATGAAAGTTTTCAGAAATAACTTTCATAAAATTAAACTTTCTGTTAAAAGTTACTGGAAAACCCAACTCAGATCAGACCATTGGAAACATCGAAATAAACCAACATTACCTGCATCAGGAATTTGGATGGAGTGAAATGTAGGTCAAGTTGTGGAATCATCTAATTTTATTACATTTGGTTTTAGTAAAAAGACAGATATGTTACAAATTTACTAGGAGAATTAGTGGGGTTTCTCTTTGTTTTTATATGTCATGGGTTAGGACAAAATAAATATTTGGTTTTGCTACTAAGGTTTAGTAAACTGATATTGTTTCTTTGGTTTTTGAGGTTGCAGAAGTCAAATTGAAGCCACTGGTATCACTTGCCCCAGCACACTGTATGTGATACGTGTGTGTGGGGGTGTCTACACAAAATGTATCATATATATTTAAATATATCTTTAAAAATCTACCTAAGTAGGTTTTCATCGCTATCTTTGCATTATGAATCTTTAAAGAAAATGAAGAGATTTCATTTAAATAAGTTGTATTCAACACAAAGTCTTAACCCATTTAATTATGTAGTTAACATTTTGTGTATATTTATTTTAGAGTCCCTAGATGTGACAGCATTGAGCTATAGGCTTTACACACATCAACCCACTTGAAAATGCTGCAATTATTTTGTTATATAAACACTGTCTAAGGAGAGGTAAACAATTTTATGAAGAAAACCCACTTTGTATCACTGATGATTTTTACAGGAACAACAAGCTCATGCAGTGTCTCTTATGCATACAGCTTAGAACATAGTCCATGAAAACTGCCTGATCCAACCTGAAGCCTCAGGGGAAAAAAAATTTCAAAGTATGTGTGTGTGTGTGTGTGTGTGTGTGTGTGTGTGTGTGTATGCATGGGCACGTATCCTAGACAGATTGGACTGAAACAGTCCAGTTCCAGAATCTTTGCTCATAATTCTTTGCAATTAATCTGTAGGTACTCCTACATACTGAAAAAAAAAGCAGCAAGATATGACTTTTAAAATGAAAATATGTGACTGAGGCAAAAGCAATAGCTTTTACAATAAGGAATTTTATTTCTAAAGTCAATACGCTAAGACTATTATCAGTATTAATGATAATTTACTCTTTAAATATATATTCCTTGTATGAATGTACTTAATTATCAAAAATTTTCTAGCCTTTTTTGGGGTATCACATCACTTAACATTTTTGTGACCTCCTAATTGATTTTAAAGCATTTCATGAAAAAGACCATATTTAATCCTGCCAGCAATACAGAAAGCCAGATAGGTATGATAGTTAATTTCATGTATCAGCTTGGTTAGGTCACAGTACCCAAATATTTGGTCAAATATTATTCCAGGTATTTTTGTGAAGGTGATTTTGGAGTGAGAGCAACATTTATGCTGGTGGACTCTGAGGGTAGCACATTACCCTCCACAGTGCAGGGGCTTCATTCAATCTGCTAAAAACCTTAATGCAACAGAAATGACATCCACTGGAACATGCAACAGTCTGTTTTTGGGCAGAACTGCTGCTCTTCTTCCCCACGTCTCCACCTGCAAGCTTACCCTGCAGGTGAAGGGTTCCATACTTCATGAACCAGTTCTCTCCCCATACACACAAACATCATGCACAGATTAGCCCTCCTTTATCAGCACTTTCACTCTCCATGATTTCAATCAGCTTTGGTTTATTTCAGAAATAAACTATTCAAAAGTTTTCAATGAAAAAAAATTCTGAATGTTATAAAAGCCCACACTGTCACTGTCCCTCAATCGCCCCCTTGTCCAGTGTATCCACACTGTATGTGCTACCCTTCTGTTAGGGACTCAGTGGTTGTCTGATCCACTCCTGCCATGTTGCTTTTGTTCAAGTAACCCTGTCAGACTTCATCATGGCCCTAAAGCACAAGAGGCATGATACTGGCATCAGGTATATCCAGCAAAGAATTAAAAACATATGTGCACATAAAAACTTGTGTATAAATGTTCGTAACAGTCACAGCAATAATAGCTACAAAGTGAAAACAACATAAATGCTCATCCGGGCTGGGGATTTAGCTCAGCGGCAAAAGCACCTGCCTGGCAAGCGCAAAGTCGTGAGTTCGATTCCCGGTACCGGAGAAAAACCAAAAAAAAAAAAAACAAACACATAAATGCTCATCAACCAATAAATGAATAAACAAATTGTGTCACGTCCATATGATGGAATGATTCAGCCACAAAAAAGAAGTCAGGCTATGGGTGTGGCTCATTGGCACAGCACTTAACCAGCATGCACAGTGCTCTGGGTTTGATCGCCAGCACCATTAAAGCAAAAAGGAACCAAGTACAAATATATCCTATAACATGGGCAAACCTTGAAAAAACTGCTGAGGAAAAGGAGCAAACACAAAATGCCAGAGTATTATATGAGTGTATATAAACTGTCTGGACTAGGCAAATCCATAAAGACAGAAAGTAGATGAGGGGTTGCCAGGAGTGAGGAAATGAAATCAATGTGGACTGAATGCAAATGGGTATGAGGTTTCCTAGCAGGGACAGGACAAGGTTCTTGAATTAGATACAATAGTTATGACTGTAAAACTTCATGAATACACCAACGACTTTGGATTGTATTCTTTAAAATGGTGACTACTACAATAAGCAAATTATATCTCAATTTAAACATGTTAAAAAATAAAAAACAAATATACTCACCTGCCCTTTTTGTGGTGCCAAACAACGAATGACTTCATTCACCATTACTGGAATATGCAATTCAGCCACTGTGTCAGAATCTCTGTTTTGAGGTGTGTGTAATTCCTGAGCTCCTGTTTGACCTACTTGCTCTTGGGCTTTATTTTCATTACATCTTCCTGCTGTAGTATGTAATTTTTTTTCCCAGACACCTAAATTAAGTATGCCAGATTCCAACCAGTATGAAAAACACTCTTTATATGGTCTACAAAAATACAGGTATCGAAGCATTCTGTAGGTCAACAAATCTAGAAAAGAAATTTAAAACATGATAATTGTTGGATTTTTCTTAAAAAAAAAAAAAAAAAAAAACAGTGTTAGAATACTTTGGAGAAAACGAATTCATATGAAATAACACATCAAACACTGTGACTCATGATCTGAACAAGTGAAAGTGACTGACCTCCTTACATGAAATAAGGACTTGAGTACACAAACATAACTTACATATGTTTAATGTGATCTAACAAGCTCTAAAATCATTACTGTTTTAACCAGCAGGGACAAGAAAACTGGTTATCAGGTCATCCTTTTCTGAAATACATATGTTCAAACTTTTAATTAATTCTAAAGAATGGATTCAATGTGTTCAAATTACTTATCTGAAAAACTATCTGGATGACTAGAGGGATGACAAACATCCTAGATTGTAGTCAGATGGCCTTTTATTTCTAGCTTTTGTTTGTTTTCCTCATAATGCAAAATTCTCATACTTGTACAAAAGATTGTTCCTGGAAATACACTAGACATGTAAATCCAACAGGAAAGGAAGATGGTTAGCCTGGACAAACCTTGCAGGTTCATCAGGGTTAGTCTCTGAGGAATCATCTTAACAGAGCCTGCATCATTTATAATTTTATACACATTCATCAGAGCACACCTGGGCTTTCTTTCCATAGCCTCTTTTTTGGTTCATTTGCTCAGATGATGTGGGGGTGCTAGGAATTGAAGCCGGAGCCTACTCTGCCTTAGCACAACTCTACCTCTGAGCTCTACCTCAACACCCTCACCTCTGTCTGTCCCCTGTACCCCAACATTAAGTAAACAATTGATACATTTCTTGAACTGGCTCCATTTTCTTCTGCAAGTTGTAATTCCTTTAAATGCAGAGGGCACAAGTTACTTATTGAATACTAATCGAAGATCTTTTGAAAATATTATGCATTTTATCCAATTGCTTTGAAGCTGTGTTTTTGACATAGCCAAAATACCTAGTTAACATTATTTTTCTTTCCTCATGGATTATGAGTTAAGACCCATACCTTTGTATCCACAAAATCAGATGTACAGTAGGGGCTTAATAAGGTTTTTGGCAGGGTGGTAAGTTCTAGGGCCTACAGAATACATAGTTATCAATCTTCACTTTAAGAAATTTCACCTAACTGATCCTACCAAAATCCACATGTTCTCAAAATTCTTCAAGAAACACACTCCAGTTAAATGTCATTTAATTTTCAACAGAAAATAAAAAGCTAATCACACATATTAAAATAATGGATTATGTATATATATTATGTAAATATAACTTGAATAAGATACTACTTTGAGGATAAGATGCCAACTTTACTAAAGATATAATACACTGAATTAAGTGATATTGTGACACGGAAAAAAATTGGCAAAATAAAAGTAGATTAGAAATGAGAGTTTTTAAGTAAATTTCTGGATATTAAGCAATGACAAATTGGACAAATTGTTAATTATGCCTTGGGCTTTCCAGAAAGCTTACACAAAGCAAAGCCAACGACCCTCTAACTTAGTAATGGTTTTCAAAATAGTGTCTAATATTTATTTACCACTTACTACTCTTAGCACAATATGTGTTCTAACTCATTCAACCCTTATCGTCTCTTTTGTAGCTAGGTATTATTCCATTTTACCAAAGAGGAAAATGGAGATATTAAATAATTTGCCAAAAGTCACATAAAGAGCCCTACAACAGCCTATTCCCAGGACCTGTAATCTTCTCCCACACACTACAAACAAAACCCACCAGATTTTACAAATTCATGTAATTTAATGACTGTAATTATGTTGACAATGCGTGTGTATTATCTCATGATTTGATTCTTTCTTTTTTTTTTTTTTTTTTTGGTAAGAAAACAGCAGCCTACAGGTTGGCCTTGTTCCACTCATAAATGATAGCACGCTATGGTGTACGTAAAAGAAGGCATTCAATGAACAGCCCTATATTATAGAATCTGGAATATTTAGACAGTTTAACACGTTAGACACCCAAAGTCTAGATTTTGATCATTTTAAAAAGACATCGCTTCCAATACGGGAATCAGAACTACATGAGGAAAAACAAGCAGTACTGTAGGCACCCCAAAACACGCTATCATCAGCCTTTCGTTCTTTTCTATGGCTTTCAGTCTCTATGTATTTATTCAGTCTTGCTCAAGGTGCAAAGCCTAACGATTTCATTATGAACGAACTAGCCTCCAACTTGGGTCAACAAGGAGAAGGGCTACAAATGATTCCTCCTCCTCTTGGGCTGCCTCTCTGCTCACACCCTGAACTTGGGGGTCAGGGAAGGCGCCCCCGCCGCGGCCCGGCCTCCCCGCTCTGCGAGGCTGAGGGCGATCAGCCTTTCCCGGCGCGGGCTGAGCGCGGGGGAAGCCGGCGTCGAGGCGGGCTGTGTGTCGCCCGGAAGTCACTGACTTTCGCCCGGAAGTCACTCGACTTTCGCCCGCAGCGCGGGCTCCCGCCCGGCTTAGGAACCAGGCGCCGAGCGGACCCCGGGCCCCGGCTCTTCGGGGTGCTAACAGCGGCCTCCTCGGCAGTCTCCCCCGCAGGGAGCTCCTGTGTGCAAATGTAATGCTTACACTTGGAGGCCAGACAGAGGCGGAGAAAGTGCAAGGGAAGAACCACCCTTCCCCAGCCTCAGACTCAGGCAGGCGCCAGCTTCCGAGCGGGAGCCCGCGGGGCAGGGCGCGTGCTCCTCCTCCGCTGCCTCGTCCTCACCTGAAGGGTCCGTGGGCCTCGGACTCGGCCCAGAGATCACCACTGAGGGGCCGGCGAGCCTGAACTTTCCCGCTCGTGTCAGTCCCAGACACGGGGGAACCTGGCACGGAGGGACAGACCGGGCCTGCGTCCGCCCGCAACTGAGGCCCGCGTGCCTTTGGTTCCGAGGCTGCAAACGGTCCCTGCGATAAATACACTGGGATTTTGCAAAGGACTTGGGCAGGGGTAGTGTTTCACCGTTCTCATGGTTAAATTCGCTTTCACTTTTTTTTATATGTCTGGGACTATTTTAAATTAATTTTTATTTTCTGTACTTTGGTTTACTATGAAAACACATTGAATTTGAATTCTAATACTATGGCATTTATACAGTACTCTAGTTTCTAACAAAAAGTTGGAAATCCTTTCCTCTTCGCTCTGAATGTTTGGAAAGTTTTTATTCTTTTTCCCCTTCACTTCATTACAAAATACACCACTGTCTTATCCTGTGTTATAGCTCGTTAATGTCTTGCCAAACAAGGTAAGTCGGCTGGCACATTAATGGCACTGACTATAATGTCAAAATTTCTCTGCTTTAATAAAATATGCAATTTCTTAACGATACAGACTTCTAAGCAGGATACTGTTATACAGCAAGTGCAGTCCTAAATTGAAATTTACGGTACAGTCAGTATTTGGGCTAGGTGTGGAAATAACTGTAGGACTATGAAGCCTACACAACATGGATGTCAAAGTAAGACAAAATTTAAAACACTTCTATTTACTTATTCCTCAATGATCAAAGCGATTTTATAAGAAAATGGAAAGATATACATACTTTCAGACTACATGAAGCTATCATGTTATGATCACTTAATCTACAATGTATTTCTGAGACAGCTAAATTCTAAATGGGCTTGTTTGCACAATTCAAGACACATATTTTTCTTAGGGATTTTCTGAAACACCAGTTTTCTATCACCAAAATGTATGTAACAACATATACATCTCAGGAACTGTTTTGAGAATCAAGATATTAACATACGTAAAGTAATTAATAAAAGCCTGAGAGATCAATGGTAAAATGTTGATTAGTGAGGACATATGTATAATAAAAAGGATTCCCAACTTTATTATTAAATCCACCACCACACAACTATTCAGTTAGCTAAGATACATATTCTACAGCCAGAAATAAGTGACTTTATTGGAGGTCTATCCAGCTTACATATACATGTATATAATGCATTATTTACTACACAGTGCTGATTTTCTTCAAATAAAGGCAAAATCTGTGGGTTTTCCATATGCTTTTTTCATTCATAATTCTCTACACTTGTGTATCCTATTTATACAGTGATACTGAGTTACTAAACTATAAGGTCCAGGAGTATAGGGATTTTTAACTTTACTGCTTATTATGGTGTACCTACAACCTACTATCACTATTTGCTGCATAGATACAGTAATATGAAGAAAACCAATCCATTTCAAATACTATATAACATCCAGAGGAGCTGAGATGTAGCTCAGAGTAGGTTTGCCTAGCACACACGAGGCCTCACTGTATGGCTCTCTTCACAGCTAAAAAAATTGTTTTTTTAAAAAACCCATACAATAAAATAAAAAATATCCTTACAAATGAAAATGAGTTATCTTAGCAAAGCTGTTTCTTTTTCTTTTCCTGGCATTCATTTTCTCTTATCCAAATGCACATTCTGAAACAAAACCTACAGTCTGAGACTTAAAAATTGCTTCACCCAATAACAAATGAGGTCAGTTTCAGTGAATGTTTCCTAGTGCCTCTGGCGCGAGCCATGCCCACCCTAAGCCCTTTCGATCTAGTCCGTGCGGGACTGACTTCCAGGTGGCGGCTTCCCGCCCGCACCTGCGGCTAGCCGCGCCCACCTCGGGCCGGCTTCCGGATACAGCGTTCGCGTTGCCACGGCGACGGGCCACCAAGCCGCTTCTACACACAGCGCGACTGAGCCTCCCGGCGCCTAACGGCGACGCGCTGAAGGTGCAACGTCCGACGTGGTGGCGTCACAGGAACGGTAGCCAATGAGGCGCGGCGGCGAGCAACCTGGCTTGAGTTTGAATCTGTCGCGGAGTGTGGAGCGCGCGGAGAGGCGGCTATTGGAGCGCGGTGGTCGCGGAGCGGAGCTGTGGACCCCGGGTGAGTGAGAGGCGCTGGAGCGGGGAGGTCTGAGGCCGGACGCCCCCTCTGGCCGACGGCCTCGCTGGGAGCGGGGGTCCGGCGCCCGGCATCGGCCTCCCTGTCGGAGCCTGGAGGCCGGGCCG